AAAAAAATCGACAATTTATTATAACAAAAAAATATATTTTGTTTGAATTGCAAGTTCATATATAAAATAATCTTTAAAATACAAAAAAAAATTTATCGCCTCAAATTGCTTAAAAAAGAAATTAAATAATATTATTAGGTAAATGAATTTATTTTTTATAAAACTTCCTTGAAAGAAGGAAAGGAGATTGCATTGCATATTACAAAATAATGAATTAAATTTTAAACTGCCCTGCAAGTCTGGCCCATGCTAATATGCGCCATTTTTTCATAATAATCAAAAAAATAAATAGATTTAGGTACTCTTAGAAAAATACTTTAAAGGGATTTTATTCAGTGAAATATCAATTGACCGTTTTGCAATCTATTGTCCGTTGTTTTCAATAGAAGGGAGAGGGAGAGTTTTAAAAGTGTTAATTTTTGGGGCATACTATTGCCACAAAACTAATAATCAGGATTATTTTAAATTAAGGGTATTAACGAATGTTTTAAATTTGGCTAATGCATTAGTAACCCAATTTAGAAATAACAGTGGCTAAAAATAATACTACCATTATTATTATTCAAAATAATAAAAGTTTAAATTTATAACAATTTTATTTGAGGATATTCAGAATAGTATTTGTTTAGAAAATGAAGAATTTTTTTCCCAATTTACTGATATTGACTAGTTAAGAATATTTTTGTCAGCTTTTCATTTAACCAAATATCAAATTAGCTCATGACTTATGTTCTACATAATTTACTAAAGTCTGATATATCATATAAGCTTAACATTTAGATTAATTAACTATAACTAAATAATAAATTTTAATTTGAAATACTTATCAAGTATATTTTGCCGTGATATAAAAAAAAATCACATGTTTATTTGTACAAATTAAACGGCTCGATTTGAGCAGATTTAAAAACGGCTAACTCAATAATTTATCCAGAAAATATCTTGAAGTCTGAAGATTTTTCTCATGGATGGTACAACGTTTTGGACATCTATTAGCGAAATTTCGAGACTTAGGAAATAGGAATGAATTAGGATCAAGCCCAACACTTTAACTTAATTTTTCACTTATATTTACATTTAATCAAGTTGGATAAAATTAAACCGCTTTAAATTTTTTATTATTATTATAAAAGATTATGCACAATAAGTTCAAAATTAGTAATTAATTTTCCCCTCCCTCTTTTTATATAGGTAAAGGTAGGTATGCTTGCATAATTTGTAAATGAAACAAAATATAATAATAAATAATATAAAACGCAATTAAAATTTCACTCTTTTAATTTTCACTTTTATTTATTCTATTTATTTTATGCGCCCCGCTTTATACTATTTTTTTTTAAATGTATAATATTTTGCTGCGACCTAATTTACGAAGATAAATTTTAAAAAATGCAAATTTTATTTAAAAATTACGGTATATTTAAAATATTATAATATAAATGCAACTTTATTTTAAGTATGTCTTGTGCTTGTCTATTATCTATTAATATTATAACATATAGAATACAACAATAAGCAAAAGGTGACATGTGATGGATAGATGTATGTGTTTGAAGTTAATTAGGTGTCTTTATAAAAAAAAAATTTATCTGTAAAATTTAATTTTCGATCCTAAAATGCAAGGACATATAAAATAAGCTCTTCTAGATCCAAAAATTGATTTAACAGCTTGATGTCGAAGGCTCCATCTTGTCGTGCAAACATTTGCACTTACTTTTTTATTTGGATATCTGAACATTTCATACACTAGGATTTTTTAATCATTATTAGTAGAGAAATTAAATAGATTTTTTTTTGGTTATTTAAATTTTCTTATATCCATCAATGTTTAATGTAAAATGTAAGAAAATATGCTTAAATTTTCGTTAGATAAAATTTTAATGTACAAGAAATAAATATTTAAATTAATTTTAACTTTTTGCTAATATTTCGAATAGATATCCTATTTGAAATTGAATACTCTGCCATTCACATCAAGCCCTTATATATTTTTTCAAAAAAAGTTTCTACGGGCCGCTGGCTACGCGCCTGTGTAAATTCCTTTAACAATACCCTTAAGAAAACTTCTTTTTTTTAAACAATGCATTTGCGTGATGGCCGATTAATTCTTATATTATTTACCACTCCCTATTTTTATTATTTCAGTCCTATTTATCATTTTACGGAAGAGTTTAAAGATAATAAATGGCATGGTGTAGTTATATTTATTTGTAGATCATAAAATTAAACTTCAAACCCAGTAACCTAAGGAGTATTTTAATTCTTGAGGGAAAATCATGTTATAAAAAAGTTAAAAACTTTAATAATTGCTGAACTCTTCTTTTTTTTAATAATCACTTTTTATTAATTGATTGTAATAATTACATATTCAACGCAATAATTTTTTTTATTAGTTAAAGCGAAAAATGGTCGGTAGGCAGGTCTACCATATTGATTAATAGAAGACCACAATTTTTTTAAAAACGTCGAAATCTACCCCACTCAACTCTACCATATTTTTGAAATTTTCGAAATATACCACCAAAACTTCCATGAAAAATCCTATATTCTAATTTTTTTAAAAAAAATCATGTTTTTGCAAATTTTTATATCAAAATATCATGCATAATGCCCAAAAAGGAAATTTAAATATCAAGAAATTCAATTCCCTCTAAAATAATGATCATTATAAACTTTTTTAAGAAAATATCCCTCCAATAATATGAAAAATAAGGGGATTAGTCTCCTTTTTAACCCGGCCGGGAAATTGGGGGTTTGGGAGCGAGGCCTCCAAAATATTTTATTAACAAAAATTTGCCACATTCGAATATGGCAATTTAGAAAAAGAATGTCATATTTTACTCAGCCAAAATAGCATACCAGAAGATGATGCACTTACATTTTGTAAAAAAAGCGACTGGAACTTCCTAGACGTGCTAATTTATCTAGGAAGGTTCTTTATATTCATGCAACCAGTACACCTAGCGAGAGAATTTTTTCCATCCTGGATTAATACTCTGTGAAAAAAATTACGAAGTTTAGTATTTGAAAACCTATGGCAAAGTTTTTTTTGCATATTTTCTTTTAGACAAATGATATCTAAGCAATCAAATTTATTGATTTGTATATGTATTTCTATTTCACCGCAAATTAATAACCCTAAATTTATTGTCTATCCCTTGGAGGAAAGAAATTCCAACGATTCTCTGAATGGATTTAATAATGTGTAAGGTTTGTCTACTAGATCTTATTCGTTATTGAAATGTTTAAAGATTGTTTTCCTACTTATTATAGCATATTATATTTTCTTTTAGACAAATGATTAAGCAGTCAGATTTATTGATTTGTATATGTGCTTCTATTTCACCGCAAATTAATAACCCTAAATTTATTGTTAATCCTTTTTAAGAGGAAAGAAATTCCACCGATTCTCTGAATGGATTTAATAATGTGTAAGGTTTGTCTACTAGATCTTATTCGTTATTGAAATGTTTAAAGATTGTTTTCCTACTTATTATAGCATATTATATTTTCTTTTAGACAAATGATTAAGCAGTCAGATTTATTGATTTGTATATGTGCTTCTATTTCACCGCAAATTAATAACCCTAAATTTATTGTTAATCCTTTTTAAGAGGAAAGAAATTCCACCGATTCTCTGAATGGATTTAATAATGTGTAAGGTTTGTCGACTAGATCTTATTCGTTATTGAAAAGTTTAAAGATTGTTTCCCACTTATTATAGCATGTTATTTATAGGAATTTTATTAACACTACGGATACTTTCTACCATAATTAATATGCTGTGCCAGCGTGCATAACAATTAATTTTAAGGTTTTCATATTAATTGGATCTGTTGGTGCTGCAATTTATGTTATCAGCCTCAGCAGAGATGTCGAAATATTCAGCAAGGTATGGATCAGAATCATCAACATCCAAAATATGACCTGTCTCAAAAATTGATTGCAAGCGATACTCAATCTTAATTCGTTCCAAATGGGCTATTGATTATCTGAGGGCTGAAATGATTTCTCTAATTTTACTCAATCTTAATTCGTTCCAAATCGGCTATTGATTATCTGAGGGCTGAAATGATTTCTCTAATTTTTATCAGAATATTAATTCTTGCTGCTTTTTTATTCCATTAACTGTAACTAAATTATGATGACCATGCCCTAAATATAAATAATACCCGTGATTTCCCTATCTGACCCTTATTTTGACATGCATCAGTTGCCATCTATATTGTTTTGTTGTTGGGAATTCCTCTTCTATACTATCGATATTAAATAATATGGTTTCACCATTATTCTTTTGCGTCATGTTTCTAGTCGCCAGGATAAAATATTTTAAATTAAAATTTTCATATAAATGATCAAGATTAAACGCGATATAATAATGTGATAAATTCTAAAAATTTTACTCGCCGCGCCGCCATAAAAAAATGACGGCGAACCTGACCGCGCCGCTCATCTCAATCGACAGATTTTCTGTCATGAAGAAAATTGCCGGCGTGAGTTAACGTCGCAAAGGTTTAAAGATAATATTATTTTTTTATATAAATATCTTTATTTTTAAATAAATTTAAAAAACTTTGTCATCTTTTAAATTGTTTACATTTTATTTTAATAGTATTATAATATATATTATTTTCATTTCAAATGTGTATTATTGACCATTTCTCACTTTATCTAATAAATGAAAGAGATTATTATGCTGAATAAAAATTTGTCGAAATTCATTTTAGGGTCCTTCTTTATATAAAAAAGAAACTTTTATAAAAAAAATTATTTTAAATTATATTTAAAAATAAGATTTTAGTTATGATAGTTTTTAAAATCGATCAAAGTGGAGTTGGAACTTTATAATAATCAATTGACGAGATTTATATATAAAAATAATGACTGGTTGAAAATATGTTCTTCGGAAATAATTAGCATGCAAATCTAAATTTTAGATATAATTACTTTCTACCTTAATAAATTAATTAATAAATCGTAATTTCTAATATTTCATATAGCTTCATAAAAGACCACGAAAATTTGAAAAATGACGACGAGACCGACGTAGAATATTACCTAGGCAACCCTATCAACGCTTTCTTGCTTATCAAAAGCCTCACCAAAGATTGGAAGCATTTAGGAACCATTATGAGGCATAACGCTTCCGAAAGTATTTAAAATCTGATTGATTTTTTTTTTAAATCCTAAGAAAGAAAGGAGTCCAATTTGCGTATTATAGCCTAAGTACATAAGCTATCCTTGTAATTTTAGTATATAGATTAAAAATAATTCAAATGTTCATGACCGAATTGTCTGTTATAGGATAGGTGTTTTGTATACACTGAAATTAATTTTTCGGCAAAACCAAATATTCAAAATTTAAAAACGTGTTCAAATTATTTTGCTAATTATGAAATTGAAAAAAAAATTGATTTTTTTGAAAATATCTTCCTTTATTGTATAAATTTCAGGCAATTTTATAAGATATTACACACATTGCCGGTAACACTATACAAATTTTAAATGATTGCTTAATTACTTTTCATAGTTTTCAAAGTAAGATCGAGGAAAAATTATTTTTGTTTAATGTTTTGATTCATTCTGAACTTTACTCATTAAAATGCAGTCAATTCTTTAAATGAGGCAACCTGTTAATAGTGAGCATCTTTATCTTAAATGTTGACCAAAACAACTAATTGTAATTTTCTGAAAAAAATATAAAATGCAATTTTTTCATTGCTAAAAATTAAATAGCCGCCATTTTAAAATTGGGTTTAACAAATATTACAGTTTACATAAACAAAATCGAATCTAACGTATTTCTGCCGGGCGATGACGATTTAAACGGAGCCGCGGTTGCGCTTTTCAGGCTCCAAGATATGTATAAAGTCGACACGAATAAAATGGCCGGAGGCGATATATCTGGCGTTAAAACTTCCCCTAATTTAAACGGTATTCTTTTGTTTTTTTCTGCCCTGGATATGATTGGAAGATGAAAACTATTTTGATAAGGAGTGATTTAATTTATTTAGTTTGTGAAATGCTAGACTATTTTAATAAAATTTAAATTGTATATACGAGAACATATGTTTCTTTGTAAACAATTTTTCGCTGGGGTTTGTTAAACTTATTTTGAATGATTTTAATGGGATTTTCTTTTAAATTTTATCTTAAGAAATATTTTAATCATTTTGTTATATAATGTTATTATGATTATATCATATATAAATACATATACGAAAAGCCATATTAAGGGATGATGGGTTTTGCTTCTAAAATGTGCATTTTTTAAATAAAATAACCCTTATTTTATGATTTTATTGCTTTCAAATCTCGCACACGAATTAAATAAGAATTTTTGAACCTATTTTGTATTTATATTACATTATATTTTATTTATATTCAACACAATTATACCTTAGCCGAGCAATGTTTCGAAATAGGCAGGCAATCATATTTAAACGAAGATTTTTATCACACCCGCATATGGATGGAAGAGGCCCTGAGAAAATGGGACGTAGAACAGGACAAAACAATCAAAAGGGAAGATATTTTGGAGTATTTGGCATTCTCTCTTTATAAAGTGATCACATTTTTTTTCTCTTTAAATTAACATGCTATACAAATTGTTGAATATTATTTACTAAATAACAAAAAAATTGTTTATAACTTATAGCAAGGTAACGTCAACATGGCTTTGAAGAAAACCGATGAATTACTCGAATTAAGTATGAACGATTTTTTTTAATGAGTAAATTATTTTGAGCATACTATAAACTTTTCGATTACTTTTAACCCTCGTATTCCTAGGGGAATATCTATCAGGCTTGTAAGTAAGGCTTACTCGGAGTTTATTATATTTTAACGAAACTAAACTTAAATAAAAATCAGGGAAAACCCGATGCTAAGTCAGTTAATTTAATTTATAAACAATTTGAAAAAGGAAATAACATGCAATAAAAAATTAGAATTAACGAAATATTAAGAATTAACGAAATATTAAGAATTAAAATAATTTATTAGTAAAACTATTATAGTTATTCGGTCTTTTTACTATGGATTCCCTTATTTATTCTAAGTGGAAATAATACATTGTGAGATAGTAATTTGAATTATCAAAATTTATAACATGGTTAGCTTAGACTATGTTCAGCAAACACATGATATTGTTGACATGGGTTGCATGGTATGAGACATATGACTGGTCGTTTAAAACAATTTTTATTAGTCTGAAGTATGATGTAAGGGAGGATATCAAATTCGAATTTATTCAAAAACTATTTTTTATATGATTTTTAATCTAACTTTTTAACAAAATTTCGCACTAAAAAAAATATTTTTTTGGAAAATAAATTAAATATTTTTGAAATAATATAATTAGCTTTCTTCTAAAAATCATCTGAGACTTGCGCCTTTCTAGGAAAAGATAAAAAATCACGATTCAAAAAGATTTCTTTTTATAGATTTAATTTTCAGGCAGGATTTTCTAATTTTATACTTTTGGTTCGAAAGAAGAATTTTAGCGATCTCGATTATCAGGATTAAGCTCAATCAAAATGATTACATTTTTTTATATTTTTTTAAAGATCCATCACATAGCAGGGCCCAGGGAAACAAGGAGTGGTACCAAAAGGATCTTGATGAGCTCGAAAAATCGGGCAAAAAGGGCGATGAAATGGAAAAGGTCAACGCTGATGACGAGTACAACTCGCCCGAACAAATGAATTATCATTCCTTATGTAGAGGGGATTACCCGAGGGTTTAAAAAACACTTTTCTAAAACGAATGATAGCAAATTATATTCTTTCTATCGTGTTAGACTAATTTATTTCTCCTTCCTTTTCCCTGATACCCCCCCCCCCCCCTTATAGGATACCTCGATCCAGAAAAAACTCAAATGTAGGTACGTTAACAGGTATAATTCTCCAGCGCTTAAAGTTTCTCCCGCGAAAGAGGAGACCTTGAATTACAAACCTTGGATCGTTATATATCACGATGTCCTGAACGATCAGGAAGTCAAAATAGTCAAGGAGTTGGCATACCCCAGGGTAATAATATTGCTTTTTAAAAATATACTTATAGTAAATTGTGGATTCATATAAATTTATTTGAAGCAGTGGCCTAACTAAGGGGTGTGATTCTGTTTCAGGACACCCACTAATCCAAAATGTTTTCAACGAAATATATTTAAAAAAATTTAAAATATATATGTTAATGTTCTGAATTGGTCAAAAGATATTTTATAAACATTTTACTTTCTTTGTGAATAATTATATATTTTTTTAAGCATTCCTCCTTATAATAATTTATTAATTTATTTGGGAAAGTTCGTGTATACCGTTATCTTCAAACGATAAATTTGAACATAATTCAAGCTTTAAAACAAAAAAAAATATTTTAGAATTTTTTTGAGCATATATTTCAGCTCAAATATTTCAACATTTTATTTGATTCTTTCAAAAATCTGGAAATAAAGGTTACTTACTATAAAATCCAAAAACTGTTACTATTCGAAAACCAAAAACTATTTTAGTTTTACAAAGTACAAAACTTGCTTGCCATACTAAAATATTTATCCAAACTCTAGAAAATAAAAATGAGTAATTGCTTCATTTTTACACCCGTTGCTTGCTGAAAACAGTTAAATCTTATTTTTATCCTGAAATTATTATCTCAGCATTTCTTTTATTTAAAAAATATAAGGCTCAATTTTGAATAAAATTAGTATACAAAGATTATATTATGTTTCGATTGTAAATGGTTTTGAACTACCATTTCTTTTTATACATTTTTATAGCAGAAAGTAAAAACTCGCCATATACTATTTAATAAATATAGGCCATTCATTTTTGATTTGATAAAAGTTCCCTTTACGTAACATTTTAATCTCTTCAATGTTGAATATACCCTCTCATTTATACGTGTGATCATGGATAAGGTCACCAATATTATTAACCAATTTCAATATTTGATGAGGCAGCTTAAAGTTTTTCAAAGTCAATAAGATTTAGAGGACGATTTGAAGACTGAATAAAATTCTAATTATTGTACAAAATTAGGAGTATAGAGCCCGATGAGAAATAAACTGAAAATTTGATTTATAAAAAAATTATAGATATATTTTTATTATTTTTTATATATTTTTGAATTATTCATTATAATATTTTTTTTGTGAATACAAAATCTAATCTTTTTACCCTGTGCAATTTATATCGCAATATTTATACTTTTTTAAAATTATTATTCGCAAGTTTACTTCTTGGTATATATAAACCTGTGCGCCGATGTCTCAATCGACGGCGGCGTTATTTTTTAATTTTTTCGGCGTATTTCGCCGCCGCCTAGTAAATTATCGGCGGCGGCGGCGCAACTAATTTATAAATCAATGTATTTTTTAATGAATTTAATTTATAAATCAGAGTATTACATTTTTTTATAATTTATTTGGGCGCTCTTTTCTAACACATTATTAACATAGTTTAATTCATTTCTTAAATTATTTCCTGTCTCACTCCTATTTAAATTTAAGTATTTTCTCATTCTCAGAAATAAACTATAGAATTGCATTTTTATTCAGATCAGAGTCACATAAACAACACATATTAGTAATATTCTATTGATTTTTATTATAACAAATTAAAATATAAATTTGGAATGCAAGCAAAATATAAAGTATGGTATGAAATATAATAAATCAGAATTCAGATTCAACAAAATTATAATTGTCATGAATATATAATATTTTTATCAAGATTCGTGGGACATAAATAAGTCTTTTTGCATTGAGTATTAATCCAGTAATTGAAAAAACTCCTAGCTAAATTAGCAAGCCTAGTAAGTTTCTGTCGCTTTTTCTTCTTCACTGTGAAATAAAAACATAAGTTTATTGTCGATCCCTTTTGGGAAGAAAGAAATTCCACATTTTGTTTACACTACGAATACTCTCATAATTAATATGCTGTGCCAGCGAGTAGGGCAATTTAATTTTAAAGTTTTTGTATTAATTAGATTGGTTGGTGCATATTATCCGATTCATCAGACATATCAAAATGGTCATCAAGTATGGATCAGATTAGAATCATTAATATCCAAAATATGACCTGTTAAATTGACTGCAGACATTTACGATGCTCTTCCTCAATTTCACATTCCAAATCAGCTACTCTATATCTGAAGAAATAATTTCTCTCTTTTTTTTAATAAGAATATCAATAAAATGGATTATGTTTATCCGAATCTTCCTCATTTTTTCCCCCAATTTTAAGCAAGGTTCACAATAAATATAATCAGGCATTGTGCTTTTCTTATTTTCATTCTTTAAAAAAGATTTCCAAATTACCTCCAGACATAACTTGATTTATAATTAGTAGAGTTGTTATTTCAGTATTGTTTATAGGGTAGTTTAAAACGTGCAAGTCCATAAAAATAATTAATATGTAATGTTAATGGAAATACGATATATGAATATATGTAAATGACATACTCTATTCTATTATATATGCAATAGAATACAATTCATATGTTATTTTATTAATGTTAATATTCAAATTTAAATAATAATAATTTAATATATATAATTAAACAACATTCTATAAATTATACATGCCACGCTGCCACCATAAAAAAATTGGCGTCTAGTCGGCTCGCGCCGATGATCTCAATCGGCGGCTGTTCCGGCGTGAATAAAATAACCGACGTGAGCTGGCGGCGCACAGGTCTAGGTATATATCAAATAAATTTTTGTTTTTGTTCAAATTTTTTTTTAAAACATTGATTACCTACTCAAAAATCCCTGTTTCGCCACTGGTTTAAGTTTAAGAATCAATTATGTTAATGAATGCAGTATTTTTTTTCTCCATTAAGTATCTATTTGAAACTATTTTATAATTTAACAATTTGCTTCATTAAAATAACAAATTATTTTATTAACACAGGGCTTCATAATTTTTTTAAAATATGAATATGAATTTAATATTTCTGTTTAATTTCACTATTTTCATTTCTAATACTTTTGCATGTCTAATATTTTTAGGACATAATATATTATTCTATTTATTGTATATATATATTTAAACAATATTATTAAAATGCATGACTTATCAAACCTACTTATATATTTTTCAATATCAAAATTTATCAGTAGCGTAATTACTAGTATAGTAAGTAGAATAAAACAAAGTTAAAATACCCTTCCCTAAAATTTGTTTTTTTATTTCTTCTTTCTATAAAAAAAATTTATTTAGAAAGGTTTTAGCCCCAATTAATTATGTAAGAGAATCATGTAGTCCCGATTTATTTTCATGCCTCTTTGGTGCAAACCAGCACCACAGGAATTATTTTGAATGCCATATGACTTGGCCTATATCATTCACTTTACACTATTCGCTGTTTCAGACTTATATGTTTTTAGATTCTTCTTCTGATTTTATCTAATTTCGCTTTTCTGTTTTTTTAAAAAAAGAAGCTTTTAAAAAACGATAAAATTGTTATCATTAAGCTGCATCTAGGGGCAAGAATAAGGTAGATCAGTTAAATCAATTAAATATAAACAAATTGCACTGGAGATATGGAATACAATTTTGTAAAAAATCTGATTTATTATTGTAGGTATGGTTTTTATTTTTTAAATTTCGACTCATAAAATCTGAAGTCCGTCCTACCAGTATTTACTATAGTAACTATTTTGGTAATTTTCTTTTTAATCAAGATATATTGTAACCATTATTATAGTTTGAAAGGTTTAATTAAGGATTTGTTAAGTGGTTAATAATACTTTTGGGTAGATATTATTTCTCCCTACTTCCCACGATCTATAGTTACACTACTGATATATATGCTATTCTCTATTGTATTTACGCTTAGATTTCATATATTTATTTAATCAAAATCATTACTATTTTTATATATTTATAATGACTCACAAATTGTAACAAAGTAATTATGTATTTTTTAAAGCTGAAAAGAGCTACTACTTTCAACTCAAAGACTCAAAAATATGAACCGGCTGATTACAGGATTAGTAAAAGGTTAGTATTTTTGCTTATGAATTTAAAGTTAATCAATATCCTCTTAACAATTTTTCTTGCACCTTGTCATATATCTTTTATGTTTTTTTTGAAATTGGAAATATACTTTTTATTGTAATAAAAAATATTGTGCATGCCATTTATAGCATTTTTAAGTTTTTTTATATAAATTGCCATGAGCTAATCGATTAATATATTATAAACTATATATTTCTATATGCTTTGTAAATCCATTCCATTCCTTTTCTTTATATTTCTGTATTACAATTCGAAGCCCTGCGTTACTAGTTACACATGATATAATTTAATTTTTTAAACTTTTTATTATAAAAAAGTGGAAAATTATAATATATATATAGTAGGTAAGTACTATGGTGCAAAAATTTTTCATCCTTTAAAATATGCTTATGAATATTCTTTATCCAGTTACAAAGGGCTTTAGTTGTAGGGGATACGGGACAATTTATACCTGCCGATTTTAGGATATCTAAGAGGTTTATATTAACTTTTAAATTAAATATATAATTACATATATAGTAAAATAAAGTACATTAACACAATGTATAGAATATAATAAATGTAATACACATACATTCTTAAGTGCTTGGTTAAGAGAAGAGGATCATAAAGTTATAGTGGATATCAATAGAAGGATTTCTACCATTACCGGCTTATCGATGGAAACGGCTGAAGATCTTCAAGTTTGAAAAAAAATTCCACATTATACTTTTTAAAAGTTTTTGTCATGGCTTTCTTTTCATTTTTATGTAAGAGAGACCAGGTCAAAAAAATCGATTTCGAAGACCCTACTTAAAATCGGGCCAGGTCAGCTGAGCATAACTCGTATAAATAAGACAATTAATCTTAAGATAACCTGTAAATTATATTATTTGTATAATTTAAGATGATTATATATCAGATTTTTGTTAAATTATAAAGGTTGCAAACTATGGCATAGGTGGACATTATGACCCTCATTATGATTTTTCCAGGGTAAAGTTTTAAATTATTTGTATTATATATTATAATAATGTTTCAAATTGAGCATGGCACTCTTTAAGTTTGTGAAATTTTAAATTAAAAATTATGATAACAATGCATGCGCTTACACTTACATAAATTTATATTCGAGTCAAATAATTAGCTTTAAAAACAAAGCGAAATGTTGAGCATGTGTACACTAGCTAGATTATTTCACTTTTTTCTGTTTCCTTACATTTAAAATATTTTTCTCGATTTTTCTTTTCATTATATTGCTTATTTTTATATAAACATATATTTAATCAATCTACTACTCTAAGTGTATTTCTTTTTTAAAATTCATAATATATATTTTCTAAAGTTGTATAGCAGTGATACAAATAAATTTATATGAATACCCAGATTTTATTTAGGTTTTAAATGATACTAAGTTATTTTTTAAATATATGTAGGCCGAGCGATCTGATTGTGGCATTTTTAAATTTTAGGAGTAAAAATACGACTATTCAATAGTATATTTTTTGATATCATGTTTTAATCATGGAAATTTAGAATTAAGGTGACTACATAAATGGGGACCACAAAATAAAATTTATATAAATTATGAAATAGCAAATCGGTTACAATCAAAATAACTAAAATAAAATTTGCATACAAGAAATTGACTATTTTTTATATTATTATTTTCACAATCTTATTTATCCCAACCAATGACGTTTATTATAATTCCTTCTTTTTATATCTCACATCAGTTAACCATATCTTACCCTTTATCCTCTATTAGTTAGGTTAAAGGGCAGGTCAGTGGAGCTTAAGATATTGGGCAAGATTTTTTTCCTTCAAAAAAATAATTACAGACCAATTTGAACTATTTCATGGACCGCGTCGGGCAAAAAATATACTGGCCGAGCGGGAAAATCCTATGAAATTTTTTATCCGCGCCGATCTCTATGTAAGGTACCAAATTATATTTCATAGCAACCAAGGCTGGAGTAGTAAGCCTTCAGTTGCATGCAATGTAGTCATCTTGTATACCAGCAAAGGCCATATTTTTAGCAATGGAAACACCGTTGCACGGTGTCCAAGTTAGCTTTATTAATTTAAGCGAAATTGTTTTTATACATATATGACTGCTGGGTCTATCACTATCAAGTGGGGTGAACGGAGGACCATTACTCTATTGTGTTCAACTAGTTCCTGCATGAAACTGGGGCGTCTGACCTTACACTTTATTGCTATGGTACGATTCCACTTATCTGCTGTTACAAACACCCTACGGGTTGGTTACTGGCTTTTTTCTTTCTATAGTACCATTGCTAAAGTTGGTAGCATCACTGACTTCGATTAAGGGAACTGGACTCGACGGACGGAAAAAATCTCGAATTTTCTCCGACCTGGCTTAGATTTTGGACCGGACCGTGAAAAACAGGTCAGATGCAGGGCGCTAATGTGTACCACTATCGCTCTACAATTTTCTGGTCGCAAGCTGGTAAATTTAGATAACCTTTTTGAAATATTCCTATTGTTTTCTTTGAAAAAGAGTATAATTGTTTTTAGATTTTAAGAATTTTTTCTGCTGAATTTTGATATCTTCGCCATATTTTCTAAAAACTGGTCAACTATTAAAAAGTAAGTTTTAACTTCAATATATCCCTTAAATTGATTATTAGTACAAAAGAACTCGAATTTTTTAAAATAAATTCATGATTTTAAAATTTTAAAGCTGGTTAGATTAATATAATTCACCAAATCTAAATTTTTTTAATATAAACTAATCGACCGCGTATGTTTTTATATGTTAACGTGAATGGTTATTTTTTCAATTTTAAATCATTTTTTGGAGCGCGCTTTTTTAAATTTTGATTTTACCGGAAGTATTCTATCATGTTTGGGATACCTACCCTATACATTTCAGACAATTACGCCGTGAACTTTTGAATTTAAATAATTTTTATTATTTTTTACATAGATTTTTCATGTAAATTATAAATGACTCAAAAGTTAACTATAAAATTATCTACAATTCGTATGATAGGTATTCCAAACATGCTGGGATATATTTCCAGTAAAATCAGATTTTGATATTTTAAAAAACGCGCTCAAAAAATGATTTCAAGTTGTAAAAATAACATCTTCCCGGAAAAAACATAATGACGCTAATATATATATTTTTTTTATATTTTCATATAAAAATTAAAGCTCAAATTGGGTTAGTATAATAAATACATTTTATCGAATCTTTAATATTAAGAACGAACATTAATAAGAAGAAAAAACCAAAAAATAATTCTCCATAAATACAAAATCACATTTTTGAAAAAGTACTATTAGAATTAAAAAGTAAGGAATTTCATTGATTTCTTATAATTCCCAATTATATTTCCTTTTTAATTGATCAGAAAATAACTAGAGCTGTAAACGTTACTCAAGAAAGTGTAACAGTTATTTTTTGCCTTATTCTTTAAAAAAAAACATCTTTACCATGACCAATCTTCATTTTACTCTTATAAAATTGAAAGTCTCGCACAAACCGCTCGGTAAACATTAAATGAAAATTTAGAACAAAATAAAAAAATTATCAAGTATAACTGACTAATTATGCCTTATTTTAACGAAAACATTAATAAAAACTTTATTTTTTAGGTTTATTCACTATTTATCAATATAGTTTTTGAGACTAATTATTTCATTTTTTTTCGCTTCCATAATAAATTAAATTTATATGAATGTTTCGTTAGAGTGTCGAAAAGGATGCATTTAATGATAAACAAGGTAACCGCATAGCTACCTTCATGTTTTACGTAAGTTGGAGATAATCTTATTTTTGTATATTTATATTTGATTTTTTTAAATATATCCTATCTGTGCTCTATTACTGATTTTACATGATTCTATGCCTATGTATCTTTTTACTCTATTCTTTCTGTGAATCATTCAATGGTTCTTAACAAATTCTTCACCTGGATATGACACCAGCTTGACATTTCGCTTCCGTTAATCTTTAAAAGAAAATGCTACATCTTTTTGAGTTGATTAGGAATAGTAATAATTTAAATTTTTGATTAATTGAAAACTATTTAAATATTGCTTCGATCTTCGTTTACATTATAGAATGACGAATATGATGATGATGGAAATTATATTGACAAGAGAATAGCCACATGGATGTTTTACGTAAGATGTCCCTTTACAGAAAATTTCTATTTTTGACAAATAATTGTCAAAATTCTTTATTATATAATGTTAGAATTCTTCGGCCTTTGTTTTATTGTCCAATAAGCCATTCATTATTCCTTTAAATTGTCAATGTTCATGCATTTTATATATCTATCTAATTTTTAGTTATTAAATTTAATTTATATACTTATATTGTAAAAAAAATTTAATCAGTTTTAATTTTTTTTAAATAACATGAATTTAGATGAGCGATGTTGTTGCCGGTGGAGCTACGGTCTTTCCGTTGGTGGGAGTCAGATCTACGCCTAAAAAAGTTTTTAAAAATTTTTTTTTATTTATATAGTAATAACAATTTTACTTATTTAGATAGTAATAACCATTTTCTTTTCCTAATGCCTTTTATTTGAACTTTAAAAAAAACAATGTATTAGGGCTCTGCCGCATTTTGGTACAATTTAAAAGCTTCTGGTAATGGAGATTTTGATACTAGACATGCAGCATGTCCCGTTCTAGCGGGTTCCAAATGGGGTATGTCAGATATAGATATGTTACCATATTTGGTCGATAAATGAAATCATAATTATTGTATATTAAATGGTCAGTATTGTTATTTATTAATATCAGTACAAACTATATTTTTTGGTCAGTATAATTATTAATAGCTTTATTTTTTTACTAAAATATATAAGTGGTGATTAATAAAATTTTATATTTTTGATAGGTAAAAATCTTTTTTTTAATACTTATCCAAATTTTTAATTTTAAAGTATGTCATCGAAACCCATGTGCCATGGCTGCGGGTTTTCAAGGTTTAGATGGTGTATTTTATTATATGAAGGGCATCCTTGGAAGATTTGCCCCATTAAGGATAATGCAGAAATCCGCGCATGATTGCAATTTACAATTTGCCTTCTTAACTGGCAATAATGGTGTCACTCATTATACTTAAATCTGTGCGCCATCGGCGGTCTGTGCGAGTTTCAAAGATCTAATTGGCGGCCGGCGATGGGCCTATTTTTAGCCACCGTCAACGGTGGCATGAGTCAGCACACCGTTTTAAATTTTTTATAATATTTTTTTAATTGCTATTTAATTTTTTTAAGAAAAATTAAATTCAAATATACAGTACAGATATCTAGGCATATTTTTTGATCTTATTTAAGAGAAAACTCATAAATTTAAAATCGATTTTGTAATTTTATAATTAATTATCATGTATAAAAATAATTTTATTTAAATTTTCCGGAAATAATGATGATCTCCTTGAATTCAACATCAACTCAGCGGTAGAGAAAACACTATGTGTACTAATTACCGGAGCACAGTATTTTTTTTAGGTAGTGTGGAAAGATTAGGAAGTTCAATAGTATTTTCTCTCCAGAAATTTAGAACATCCATATCTTATTAATGGTGTTTTTCTAGAATAGGCATTCTTGTTCTAAATCACTTAAAATGGAATCATAATTAGAACTTGTTGTTGAGTGTTTAGTTGCTAATTTTGTAAAATAATGAATTTAATATTACCTCTTGATTCTCAATCGCTATTTTTACTACCATAATATCATACTCTATACGTTTGAGGTGTTTTATAATAATTTCCCACTCATTAATTTTTTAGGGAAATACTTTCTGATTTATTATCATTTACTAATTTTTTTCAATCCCACTTTTAAAAGATGATTGCAAGTTTAAGATAGGTCTTTGTGCGGATGGAAATTTAATAGTTAATGATAGGTAAATTTGTATTTTGTTTATTTTTCATTTATGGTACTGCTAAATTTATAATATTTATTTGAAAAATCGTGATTTTTTGAAAGTGTCTGTGGCCTAATCGGCAAAAGCGTCGCTTACCAATCAGATGTTCTGGTTCAAATCCAGCAAAGATAATGTTTTTTTTCTTAATCCAACTTGGTTGTTCCGTCTTTGGTGGGATGATATATAGGGGGTGGGACTCGACCACATGATTCCTTTATAATATATATTAAATAATAAGAGGGTCTCATTACATTTTAATCGGTATTTAGCAAATTAGGTTGTTATTTAGAAAATTGCTATACGTTGACTGGCCCTACTTATCAATAACCAAATTCAACTCTCTTTAAATTTTGAAAAAATAGCTAATAGTTCTTCTTAATGTTGTTAAACGGCTTTATTTGAGCCGATTTTTAAAAACTACTAACTCAATATCTTAGCCAGAAAAATGTTGCTTAAGCCTCGAGATTTGACTAATAGATGTGCAAATCTTTTTGCCATCTATGAGCAAGATCTTTAGGCCTGCGTAACATTTTTCTGGATAAAATATTGAGTTAATCGTTTTTAAAAATCGGCTCAAATAGAGCCGTTTAACGACACTAGCACTTCTACTAGATCTTATTCATAGTTTGAGATAGTGTTTCCCAATTCTTTTCAAAATATTATTAATTAAATTTTTATTTGCTCCAGATATGCTTACAAGCATAATTATTATACTATATGCTACCTGGCTGGGTTTTAATTTTAACGTTTTCGTATGTGTTGCATTATTATTATCATCGTTGAATTTGCCAATTTGAAAACGGGTATCAGGGTAGATCAGTTCTATCATCGGGCCTAATTCTATTTAAAATAATTGGCTTCGGGCCGGGCCTAATATTTAAAAAAAAATTCGAGCCGGATCGGGTCGGACCTTGAAAATTTTTTAAAATATATCTAAATTTATCAATTTTATATTGAATTTTTTTGTAAAATAAAAATATTTGATTTTGTTTATTGAAACTAAACGACATATAACATGTCTTGAATAATTAAATATATTAATTTCTTTATTAAATTCGGCCGGGTCGGTAAATTTTTAAAAAAAAATTCGGGTTCGGGCCGGGCTTGAAAAATAAGGCCCGATGCAAATCACTACTATCAATATCTTGCATATCTGATATTTGATCTATTATACTTCGGCATTTTTTTAATCTGCCTCGAAATCAAATTCAATCTGTAGTTTTATATTTTAGAGCAGATTTTCAACCAAAGGTATTTAATTCCATCCACTATAACCAAATTATGTTAGCCATGACCCAAGCATAAGTGGTGTTCATATTCACCTAATTCTAGAATGATGTCAAAATAATTATAATGTAAAATCAGGAACATGAAACTGAATTTTGAGTAAATTTATGTAACAGAACGGTCCCGGAACTTTTCTGAAATTATTTATAAATTTTTTATTAATTTATATAATTAAAAAAATAAATTTTTTAATTCATCTAATTGGTGCATATATTAATTTCTTTTTATTTTCTAATTCCTTTTACAAATGGTATACCCAGAAATTTTTTCTTCGGTAAAAATTGGAAAATGTAGAAAAATGATAGTCTCATAGAGCCCTTAAAGGCAGCATGCCTAATGTTTCAAAAAGAGAACATTTTTCCAGGTGACCTTATTGGTCAATGGACCAAATGTAAATTAAGGCTTAAAATAATTAATTCTCACAAGACTTGATTTCAGCTCTCGACAAAAAATGCTAATGCACTTTCTGCTTTATTCAGACCCTATGTTTAAATAACCTTTGAACGAAGAGGAAAATAATATAGCTATAAATCATTTATTAGCGACATGGGAAAGGATGAAAATTTTAATATAAGTAATTCGGATAAATCTTCTGAAGGACAAGAATATGACGAATTAGAAATGTTTCTAAGGTTCAGGATAAAAAAAACATAGCAAAACTTACAAAAAGGATGATACTATAAAAAAATTTAAAACGAATCGTCTAGATAAAGTAAAAAAATTGCTAGAATATTAGTAATCCAATAAAATTATAAATCTTATGTTTAATTGGCCCAAATCGTATTAGCCACTCCTTATAGCCAGGTAAGTGTAGAAAGTTGTTTGTCGACACTCGAATTTATACTAACACCACAAAGAACCATATAATCTTTTAGAAAATATATTGCTTTTATGTAAAAATTGATTCATTTAATGATTAAATAAAGATAATTAAAATTGTAGATTTATAAAGTATATAGATATATTTCTAGGAACGTTCCGTAGGGCGGTACGGAACAATTGTTTTGACCGGAACTGGACGCTAAAATGTCTTTCATAAAATAAGAATTCATTAAAATCCTGATTGACATAAAAAATTTACAAAAGTGAGAATAAAATATTTTTTAAAAAAAATTACGCCGGTCACGCGCCATCTTTGTGAAAATTGACAGCGCATGGCATGATCATAAATGACGGCGTGACCAAAAATATCGGTAAACTGCGTACAGGTCTAATTATACTTAATTGAACAAATAATAATTGCCTCTTCCCTAAAATTTCTTGAACCTTATCACTCCACGCCTCATATGGCCTAAAATTCGTCTATGAGAAGACTAGAGTTTATATTAATAACTTTTGTTGGATATTTTTGGAATAACTTGCCAAATTTATTGGTAATGATAAATGCATTAAAATCACGAATTTATTACGCTGGTAATATAAAATAAATAAAATTTAATCACATTTTTTTATACTGAACAATATTATAGTTATATTCTTTATCATGCTAATTAATTTTGTTTTAAACTGATAATTTTTTTGAAAAATACTGACCATTATTTTTTACTAAATAGTGAAGAAATAAATAGTAGTATAGAGAACATTTATTTTTTTATTAACAATATGCGTATAAAAATACTTTTTTTAGTTTCTAATAAATGGATTCACGAGAGGGGTCAAGAATTTAGAAGACCATGCAAATTAAATCCGAGCTTATAAGTCCAATATTAACTAATCAATGCCGAATAATCAAAATGTTATTTACTCATAAAGAGCTAAAATCTTCGACTCATTTTGTCACTTTTTTTACATACTTACTACAACCCACGCATTCAATCATATATTTATAACAATGTTTTTTTATATTTTTTTAAGGATCCGCGAATATTGAATATTTTTAACTTTTTATTTCGATATTTTTTTTAACAAAATGACATTTCACTTATAAAAAAACTAATGCATAGTTAAATTTTTATAAAGGTAAATCATGTTTTTTTAGATATGAATAAATGTGGTAGTAACACGTTGCTGCATTTTATTTCTTTATTCTTTTTAATGTAAATCAATTTATATTTTTTAAATGTTTTATAAAATAGTATAAAAAATAAATTTTATTATCAAACATGATGTTAATAAGAAAAAACATTACCCATATATATAGTATAATTGATTAAATATCACAAAAAAAATCTTGATAAATATAAATAAGAATGCTTATTGGTATATTACCAACGCATTAATAAATTTTTTTTATAAATAAATTATGATTAAATGTCATATAAATCATAATACTGTGAAAGTTTACTAAGAAAACAATAAATTATTTAATTTTTGAAATCATTTTTTTGTTTAAATTATTTGGTCAAAACATTTTATTTATGAATCATTTAAAGTAAACAAGGAATCATTATCGTGGGTTTTGTTTTAAAAGTTATCTTGGCTATTATCATTGTTAGTTATATTGGAATGATTGTTATTTTCATTGTCTCCAGGCTCGCCTTTCACGATATTCAAGATGGAAGGGTTGTTGCGTTCAAGCTCATAATTCAAAAGGAAAGGATATCGGAAAGTTTTACCCTTAACGTAATCTTCTAAATCCTATTTAGTAATCAATTAATATCTTGAAACAAATGTATAATGTATTTAAAATAAATTAAAACTGCATTAAAAATTAAAACAAATACAATTTTAAAAAACTATAAAATGATGACTTCTTTTCTTTAATTCTAAAAGAATTCATAAATAAATAAAAAAGATCGATAATTTATAAAAAAACTTCTCCAGCGTAGGAAACGATGGGTGATATTTCACAAGCAAATTCAGCTTTGGATTTGGGGTTATAATTAGCATCGCCATTTTTTTCACAAGCGCCACTAAAAATTTATTTTTTTGATTTTTTCAAGTAAAATATTTTATAACTTAACAACTGAATTATCTATTGATTTTACTACTATATTTTGGATGAGCCTTTAATAATATCGTGTTCAATACTCGATTTTCAAACATAATTTGAGGCTACCCACAAATTAAAGTATCATAAGATTAAAATCGTAAGGAGGGAGAGTGGGCATGACATAAAAATATTTGTCTCATCATTAGACCTATAAAATATGAATTAAATTATTACCTTCTTTGTAAATTCATCATTATAAAACCATTATTCATTCGATTCGAAAATAAAATAATAAAAAAAATTCCTCGAATATTTATAGGAATAATTCGATCGAATAATGAAAAAAATATTATTTGAAGAAATAATTTGTTTTAGGTCTACTTATTTAGAAAACTTACTTCGAGTTATCATATTTTTTGGTCCCGTTTTCATCGACGAATGTTCCACCGGCTTCAATCACATACTTTTTGTGCAAAGCGTAAAGATCTTTCCTGCAGGTAGAAGGGTTAGAATCGCTACTGCCTACGTCCGAATTTTTGAGCGGAGAAAATTCTTGATCCCTTTCGACTGACCAAACGACAAACTTTCTATTTAAAAAATCAATTATATAAAATACTATACAATATTATGGTTTGGGAATAGAATTGAATAATTTTGAGCACATATGTTTAACCTTAAAAATTTTACTTTTAAATACAAAAAAAAATTGGATTTAAGTTTTAGCTTTAAAATTCTGGCAGTTGATTATCTAATTTTAACTAAAAAATCATTCAAGACGGCCATTAATCTTTCGTTGATAACCAAAAGTTTTAACTATAAAAATAAAAAACAGTTTAGTAAATAAATCAAATTTACTTAGAAATCGGGAAAACGTCGAAAATAAATTTTTCCATTTTGATTCCGTTAGGTTGATCAGGTTTGATTGTCACGCCTTCTTCATTCGCGTAAGGTATTTTCTTTTTCGCCACGTGATATTTTAAGGTTTCGTGTTCTCTTTAATTTAAAATAAACATTGGCATTGATTTTAAGTCAAAAAAATCAATTATAATTTTGATAATAATAAAGTACAACTATTTAAATCGCGCAATAATTTTGCTTGCTATATTTTATATTAGGACAGTGCCTATCCATAAATTTTTCTCCGATCCGATACTTAAATTGATTTTATCTACCATCTATCTTTGGACCAAATGTGTCATAAAAAAATCAATACTTTGTAAACACTGCAATTTTTCATTTCTCATGACTAGCGATATTTTAGTGCATTATCGCGAATGAATAAGTGTTTTTTTCCAGTGGCGTAACAACCAAAAATTTTCTTTTGACATCCTTATTCCTTACCCTAATTTTCTTCTTCATTGCGCCTATATAATAGACTAATACAGGTTAAAATAATATCTTTTTCAATTAAATTATTTTTTCTCCTGTTCTATTATGTTGTCCTGCTAAAAATTTCCGAACCTCATCGGTTTTTATATTTCCATATTATCTACGTTTTAAACATCGTTATAATACAATACTCTGTCAACCGCTCTCGTATATATTACTTTGTCAGCCGTAAATTATATATACTTTTTTAAATTGTTTTATTCTGTAATATTGGAATGAATTTAAAATAAAAGATAGGTCCGGTGAAACCACGGGGCCCTCAAGTGCCTTTTGGCGCTGGGGAGCCCTGCAAAATATCAATTATAAATTTTTAATATCTCTTCGCTTTCTACCTTTTTACATTATTCGTAAAAAATGTAGATAAATATTGAATGGTATAAAAGTTTCTGACTTCACAAATATTATTAGCATCATCATTTAAAACTAGATTCAAGTTATGAGCAGCAGAACCCTACATTCGATTCTATTTCTTTAGTTTTGTTCTGCCCTTATATTGTACTCATATTTACGGCTCTTCATATTCTTGGCCTTTACATTTATTATCCAAATTAGAGTATAAAATATAAATGCTATGGATTCTGAATTTTGTTCAGTAATCTATAAAAATAGTAGATGGATATTGAAAAATTAAAAAAATATCAAATATGTATAACGAACAAAATCAGATTAGTGATATCGAATCGGTGATCAGCTGGTATCAATTTAACATCGACAAAAGAGGATCAGATCGCTCTTCAAGTTGAATCGGTTGCACCTCTACTTTTTAAATTACTCTCTTAAATTGAAATATTGGTTTCCTTTTATTTATTTCTTATCAAAAGCAAATTATGTATAATATTTAAAAATATATTAATTATATATTACAATAACAAGGTATACCAAAAAAAATGAAAATATAGGATTTAGATCAGTTTTTCTAAAAATATCGGATCGATTTTTTTAAATAGTAAATATCAACACAGCCTTATTTTACATGAGTTTTTTTTAAAACCTTTGCCAAAATTATGCAATTTTAATTTGCTAGAGGTAGGTTTAATTGGGCATAAAAATCCCAAATTACATTTTTCAAACAAGTCCATTTAGCATAATTAAAGTAGTAAAATATGGCAATCATAAATTTTTATTATCCAAACAAAGTAATCCTTTAAGACAAATACATTCATTCAACTAATATCATGTCCGAATAAATTAATTTTATCGAAACAGATACAAACTATCATAAAATATTTCAAAAAAAAATAAGCAAAAACTAAACTGGCAAGCTTTCCTCAAAAAATCGATTGTGAAAAGGTGATTGACTATGTTGCCGCAATTGAATAACAAATGGCCTTCGGGGTTGGTTTTGTGGGACGTATTCATCGATATTTCGGAATATTCGACGACTTGATACTTACCTTGAACTCTGCACACCACGCCTACAGCCTCACTTGGCTCAACCTTTTCGATCACCTATTTTTTTTTTAATTCTTGGTAATTTTTATTGTTCTTAGTCAAATGACCTACTCTCCAATGGGCACAAAAAAATCAGTAATAAATAATATTTTGTTAGCTTTTCTTATTAAAAGAAAACCTTGTATAAAGGAAAAAAACTTGTTTAATTTAAATGATAATAAAATGAAGTATTTAATGGAATATGAATCAAGTCAAGGTTAACTCGTTATTATAATAGTATTAAATAATTTTAAAAAAAAACCAAATTCTATTTCTATATTTGTATTCGAATTAAATAAAAAATATATTATATTTTTTGGTTCTATTATTCAAACAATCTTTTTTTTTAAATTTAATTTAAGCAATTTTTTAAAATATAATTTGATACAAAGTGGCTCGTTTCAAGCTTCTAAATTTTCGACTGACAAAATGTTTACCAAATAAAATATCAATTTAAGCTTTTTTCCATTAGCGTAGTCATTAATTTGTCAGTTAGTTATCCTAGTAAAAAACTTCACACACTCCCCCAAAAAAGGAATATAAAATTATAAACCATATTTATTTTTTTTAAATAAATAGTATAAGTAAATGATATTTTATAAGTGTTTTGAGAAAATAAAAGCAAAATTATATATTAAAAACGTAGGGCAAAGTTCTTCAAAGATCTTCTCTCATTTAAAATATGATATCTTATTAATTATTTTTAAGACGAATGAATAAGAAGAAAAATAATAAAGTAAATTATTACTTTGACTCCACAATCAGCTTGCTTCTTTACACAGAATCCAATGAATATAGGATCAGCCACTTTGACAAGTATGTTATCTACTCCATACACATGAATGTATTCAACACCCTTTTCAAGGAGAGTATTTAAAACTTCAGATGTCAGCAAGGCCTTGTAAATTCCACCATTCCCCTCTAAATATATAGGAAAGAATGGTTATCAACTTTAAAAAACGAGAAGAAAAAATGTTATATAAACACTTAGATGATGTTATGATATAAATATTAAACTATAGCAGCATAATAGGTTTTTTTAATTGTATAATATTGTTTTTATATGTAAATCAATTTAAAAATAATACAAATGTTTAGAATAGCCATCGAAAGGAGAAATCTTCTATAATTTAAAGCATATATTTATTAATCTGTGAGTGGTAAAGAGGACATAACCCTCCCCCCTCTCCATAGAGATCTTAAAATAAATTACAAATTAATATGTAAAAAATTTGACTTGTTTTAGCTTTATTGTTGGAAGTTAACTATTTATTTTTTTGCCATTATCATATGATATCAAAACAAATTATTCAACCCTCTAAAGCTTTGAATAATTTTTTGATGCAATTAATATTTTTTATAATTTATTTAAAAAATTGTCAGTTTTCAACCTGATACATGGCTAGTAGTACATCTCTGATTATGATTGTTAGTTAGATGTTTAATAATTTTTATAGTTAAAATACGCGATGGTGATTTTATTCTTTTTAGACCATCTTTAAAATTCATAATTAAATTAAATGAAGGTTAAATTAGATTAGGCACAAATGAATGCAGAATAAAGACAAGAATTGAATAATTTGCTATCTTATTCATGTGAATAATAAAATTTAATATTTGTATTTGATTCAAATAATTCCGTTTTTTTAAATATTATAAAATAATTCATACCAAAATATATTGACAATTTTTTTTTATTTGCACATCTAATTTTAACAGAAAAAATTATTAAAGATAATAAAGAATATGCAAACAAGTTTTAGCAAAATTATAATGAATATTAATGCCAAGTCAAATTTTCTGGTAAAGACATTTTGTTGTTCTTTTTATGACATGTGATTTTTTGACAGAATATTAGTTTTAAATAAGAAAAGTCTTTCACAACATATGGTTAGTGTATCTTGTAGGCCTATTCAAAAAAAATCGTTAATCTTATTCAATTAAGCAAATCAAATAATTTAATTTGTATTTATCTGAATAATAAAATTAATAGGACTGTGTTGATATTAAATATCAGATAGGCCCTGATATTTAGTGTTTTTAAAAAACGAGTGGATATTTTTAAAAAATCTATCCGATCAGATATTTTTTATTGTTTTTAGTTATTTTATGATTGTATATATATATAATCTTTTTTTTATTTTATAGATAATTTCATAATAATAAATTAATAAAAGGAACTAAAATAACAATATATTTTTGTAATGTTTAAAAAAATAGTTTAAATTACACTATTTTTTGTTATATTATCTGGAACAAGAAGGAATTTCAAAATATCTAACGAGTCACATTCAGCTAGTGTTGGTAAATGGCTTAATTTAAATTTAATGGTTAACTAAAGATTTTGGCCAAAAGTAAATTACTCAAGCTTATTGATTTTGTCCACAGATGACAGAAAGGTTTGGACTTCTGTTGGCAAAATTTCAAGACTTACGCCTTTTTTAAAATTGGTTAAATGGAGCTGGTTAAACATACTACATTCATCCATAACCAATGCAAATATTTTAAATGAGATTATTAACTTTTGGAGAATAAAAAAAATAAAATACACTGTGAAAGTTAGTTGCTTTTATATATATATAAAATATTGATATAACATTGATTAAGGTAAATATATATTCATATAAATATTGGACAAGTTTTTTAGTGATATCAGAGAATATCGGATTGGATCAGTCAGCCCTAGAAATTTAGTATTTGTATTTCAATTTAAATATTTTAACTATTTATTGAACGTCTAGTTAGAAAAAAATGATTATAATAACTTGATGATAAAGAACATGTGATCAAGTTATTAATTAAAATCTATATTAATCTAATTTATAATGCAAGGCGAGTTTATAATGCCAATAGTTTTTCATATGTTTTTTTTGATTTTATTTATGACATGCAATTTTTTAAGACAATTTACTTTTAACTGAGAAAATCCTTTCAGAAGCATTGATGTGACTAGCAATCATATCAAATAAAAATAATCAAATTCCAAAAAAACTTAATAATTATTCTACTAATTTGATTTGAATAATTCAATTTAAATAATTTATTATTTGCATTTATATACAATTCAATTAATAGAAATGAATCAAATAATTAATTCATTTTTGAATAGGCATCATAGATTAAGAAATGTTTGGAATATAACAATTTAACATAAATTAATGAGTGAGTAAGATATAGCAGTTTAATAATACCCACCTTATTAACACTCATAAATAATCATAAAATACAATTATATTTTTGAATTATAGGTTGTAGTATTTAAACTAATAAAGAAATTTTTAAGTTCAACTTATATTTGCTAATTAAATCTAGGTATGAAAAATAAATAAAAGTAAAACCTGGTGATAAAGATATTTTGCTTGGTGATTCCATTATGATCTTTCCAGTCATGTCCAAGCAAGGTATGGAATGTTGTTTAAAAAATATAATAGACTTAGGATCGAGCCCAAAATAACGATGAGATTCAAAATATGCTTTGGTTTGATCAATTGTATTATCACTTGCCATAATACACCTTAAATATAATTATAAATAAATATATCATTATATAAAACCAATTTATATATCCTGGAAATGTGTAGAGTGGGTTTTCATCTATATTTATCATATGACATAATTGATTTAGTTTTAATATTCTCTCTGCTTGTAACTGGTATAATGATTTATTTGATAGCAACCCAACATCATACATTCCTTTTGGGTAATTTACTCCTAATCTAGTACCAACTCCACCTGCCATTAATATAACAGCAACTTTTCTTTGCCTAATCATTTGTAACCCTATTTAATGGTTGTTCAAAAAATTATTCTTAGAAAAAAAACCTAATGCTTCATATTCTTTTAACAACGCTTTACTTGTATATTTAAAAATTCCTAGATCTTCTTCAAAAACAGGTTCAATATAAGGATCTAATAATTTTTTTGAGACTTCCAAATCATTGATAGCATCATTAAATATTCTATAAATATATGAATATACTATAAATGGGTTAAATTTATACTTTTCTATATTTTCATATTTAATTTGATTCAGATCTTCGTATAACTCATTTTTTTCAATATGGGTTAAAGAATTCCAATATCTCAGTACTTGAGATTGATTAAATTTCTCCAAATGCTGCTGAAGATTATTTATTTCTATATCTTTCATAATATGTAATAATTATTTAAAGAACTAGAAAATAATAAATAAAATTAACAAAGTTGACGTTTTATTATATCACGTTGTTTACATTATTATATTTGCTAAATGCATTTTTGAGTAAATAGATTTGTTTAATTTTTTTTTTAATTTTCGATGTAACCTAAGCAGGCGCGACAATATTATATTATTGACAGTATGAAGAGACGGGCATAATATTTAATGAAATAATTTAGCACATCTTAAAGTTTGAGTAAATTTGTAAATGCTTAAATTTAGTTCTTCACGCTGATCTGAGATCAATAATATTCAACTTATATTTTATATTAAATATTTTGAAAAATAATAAAAATATAATATCGTGTTTTATTTTCTCGAGTTTTATAGTTATTAGCATTTAACAAAGTCATCAGGGATACAATTCGCGGCTGAGGAAGCGTTTTGCTATTATTTTTAACCCTTTATTAGATGTCAGCAAAGTTTTGAAAGAGATTGTACCATACAAAGGAGATGAGGTAAAAATTCAGTGTGATCGTTTGTTAACACCCCTATTTGAAAAATAGACAACAATTTTGAATATTGTTTAGCACCCTATTTTACCAAAATCAGCATATGACTTTAAATATTAGCGCCCAATTTTTAACAGTTAGCGCCGATTTAAATAAATGCATTATATTATCTAGATAGATTTTTAAAACTTTAAGTTTAACAAAATTTGTAATAATCGATAAATTTTCTGTTGGCATGAGGAATCATTTTTAAAATGATAAATAATTATTTTCTTCTTTCACCGATTTAATAAAACATAATAAAAACCTTAGACCTGCAGAAGTATCATTTGACAGCCCGGCCCGGCCCTGGTTATATTTTCAGACCCGGCCCTGATTTTTTTTTAAAAATATATTTTATTTATTTTTTATTTTTATAGACAATAATGTAAATTTAAAATATTTGGTTTGTAAACATTCTGCCGATCCCATCCGGGGGCTTTGTAGAAAATTATTTTGAGCCTAGTCCCAGATTTTTAAAAAATTAAAATGAGGTTCATGGGCCGTGCCTAATATCGGGTCGGGCCTGCATATCTCTGATAAAAACTTAATGATGAAAAATCCCAATTTTTATATATTAAAAATGTATACTTTAGAATATCAGTAAAAAATTGAAGATATGCATAACTAATCCTTTTATATATTGATTTTGTTGGAAACACATGATCTATTATTTTAGAATATAAATTTGAATATATAATATGAAATGAATTAGCAAAAATCGCGAAATTTAATAAAAGGTCATAAGAATATTATAATTATTATTATAATTTATTTAAATAAATTTTTTATTATATTTTTATAATTATTATAATTTATTGTAATTATTTTTTTTAAATTATTTTAATTAATATTTTAATTTGATCTAATTTATTTTAATTAATATATTTATTTTAATTAATATATTTATTTATTTAAATTAATTTTAAGTTATTTTATTTAACGTCTATAACAGATTTGGTCTATATTTGTATGATTTTATCAACATTTGTAGCGGTGGTAGAAAAGTTTAAGCTCCTTCGGAATTAATAAATCTAAAAAAAAAATAGAATTGCACATTTATCACTCATTGTATTTGTCGAATAATCATTTTAATTCTATATCATATATAGGGTTATTGTAAATTTAGGGTTCCACTTCATTTCTCTAAGTAGTTTTAGCAATTTTATTTTTTAATTTACACGACTCCTTGGCCTACATATTTTTGGATGCCAATGCCAAACCTTTACCTCATTCAAAAATAATTTAGGTAAATGGCTACTAAACACTCCTCTTATGCTGGAATACGATTTTGGGGAAATTAGGTCTTTTAAAAAACACTTACTATAAATATATGTTTAAAAATTCTCTATTAAACTAGATATTAAAGCTATATCTTACAACATACACGTTTTTATATCAATTGTTATAGAGTCTTATATTTTTTCTTTTAGTCAAACCGAAAATATAATTTTTACAAATTTTTATAAAGAAGTATCAATTCGTCAGACCGAATTGCGAAGATGGGACCTATTTCGCCACGCCTATGCTATGTTCTAATCTTTTTTTAAAATTTTTTCTTTTCATTAGTTCAATTTGATTTCTATAAGACAGTCATAAGATATATTTATTTGTATCATAATAATAATAACAATTTTGTCAACTCCAACATTTTCGCTCCTGTAATTCTTTTTAAATAGGTTTTTAATAAATTATTATTTAGATATATTTTTTTTAAATTATGTTTAGTGCCCCCTTTTAAAGACTAAGGAAGCTTCTGAATAATAAATTAGCTTAATTAATACATGCCTCAAAATTTGGCAATAGAAAATGTTATACAAATATTTGTGGGGAAATTTTTTTAAGTCTTTTACCGAAATATTTTTTACCTTTTACAACAAATCATAAAAAAATTAAATCTTATAAGAATTTTATGAGAATTGGAGATATAATTTTAAAATATGAATATTTTGATCCCTTGAGACATTAGTTGGATAGTAGGTAGCTTCCTACGCACGTATTATAAAATATATACAGAACTAGTATTATCCACACAAAAGATTGCCGACTGAATTTAATATGTGTAAAGATTTTTTAAATTTAAATTTTGAAATAAAATTTAATAATTGAAACTAAGTATATTAATTTTCTTCCTGATACTAACACCATGATTAATTTATCTCTGATTTAGGGTTAATATATGGTGTCTTTGAGATTATTGTCTCTACAATTGCAAAGTGAAAGGTTTATCAAAGGAGGCATAAATATTTTCAAATTTTATAATTTCAATTTTAGAGATGTCGCATGATTCAGAAATCAATCTACATTTAATAAAATATCATAAAAATCCAAAACTTGTAAGATTAAATACATCTATTTATAATTTCCTAGAATATACAATGCAGCCCTGTCTAATGAATACTCTTGAAGATGGGAATATTGTAGCTTAAATTAATTCTAACAATAATTTTTAGTTAAAACTTATTTCTCATATTTATTTATCCAAATTGACCTAAAATCATATATATGAGATTTTGTGAAAATCAAATAAGAATTTATCAAAAATAACGAGTGTGAAAAAAATGTCAGACATATGAAATATATTGATTAAAATGATCCTGCTCACATTTCTCAAACGTATAGATACTTTCGATTTCAGTATTCCTGAATAAAGAGGTTTTTATAACATAAATTTGATAATGGTTGACAATCAAGTGAATTTAAAAATAAATAAATTGATCAATATGATGTTTAAACGCATTAACAGGCTTTCGGTATCAAACTAGATTCCTAATTCATATACAAGTATGGTGTGAGGTAAACATATTTTTAATAAATTTTGTCTATATTATATATCTTACGAATAGACTTAAGCTCCTAAAAAAAATCATTTTATTTTACTTATTCTATATTATTCATTTTCTGGGAGGGGAGTTATCTTAATTATATTTTTTTCATGGAACGCTTATATTTCTTATTAGCTAATAATTACATATTTTATTATAATAACATACATTTATAATATAAGGGTAGCCAGGGGGGGGCAAGAAGAAATACCCCCCCCCCCTCCTTCAGAAATATATAACTCTTTGTGAATATTATTTTAAGCTAATTTAGTAGATCCTCTCTAATAAATTTGCTAAATGAGTCAACACATATAAAATAGTTGTCTTCAAATTGCGAAAAGTCTATGTGCGCGCGTCGAATACTTTTGTTGTTTCCCAAGGGTTTTATATATTATGTGGATTGTCTGCATATTTATTACATGCATCACAATTTTTAACCTCCCGATTTATTTCTGCATATAAGTCAGGCCACCACAAATAATCTCTCGCTAATGATTTTGTTTTCCCAGCACCTAGATGCCCTTTATGCAATTCTTGCAACATCTCCTTTCTCATATTTTGAGCTATTATAATCCTATTTTCTTTAAAAAGACAATCTTTAATCAAACTCAGTTCCGATTCCATATTTTTATACGTTTTATTTTTTATCTGTTCATGATTCTTTATATTGTTAATTACTTCCACTAATTCTTTATCATTACTAGTTTCTTTAACTATTCTTGTAAAATTTATTGATATGTCCCATAATTTATCATCAATTATTTTACCAACTATCTTTTGTACCATCTCTGTGCTCGTTTGTGGAATTACTTCTTGTATAGTACCATAATCTTCCTCGATTAGATTCACAAATTTATCTAATATATTTCTAAAAACGGTTATCCAGGTCTTTCCCAAAAGTGCAATCTTGTCACTTTGGACCACATAAGCATTTAAGATTTGAGTTTTATCCTCGAATTTAGCCTTGACTTGGACAGTACCTAACACTTTTATTATTTTTCCATCGTATACAGTTAATTTTGTGTCCGATTTATTTAAAATTTTAATTCCAATCTTTCTTACAATATGAATCGGTAGGATGCTGAACATAGAACCAGTGTCTATCTGCATTAATATTGGCACGTCATTCAAATATACTGTAACTTTATATGCATCATTAGCTGTGTTATCATTATCGGTATCCATATAGTTTATGTCCAAATTATATAAATTATATTCTTTTTTCTCTAATTTATCATTATCATCTTCTTTTATCTCTTCTATATTTAGAGTGTTTACTTTGTTTGTATATCGTGATTGTCTATTATCGTTGTTATGATATTTACAATTACATACTTGATTTCTTCCTTGATTTCTAATATTATGGTTATTGTTATGTCTTTGAATAAATCTTGAATCGTTATAATGTCTGTTATAATGTCTGTTATAATGTCTGTTATAATGTCTGTTATAATGTCTGTTATAATGTCTGTTATATCTGTAATTATAATCATTATTAAATCTATGGTCATTATAGTTATTGCTATTATAAATAGTTCTATTATCAAATTTCGAAAAATTATTGTACGATCTTGGATAGTTTGCCCTGACGTTATTGTAATGACTCGCATTATAGTTCTGATATCTAGGGTTGTAATTATTTTCTTATAAT